CATGTGCTGCAATATCCACGTAATGTAAACAGTATAAATGCCAGATTCTTCGTATTGTTATAAATTGCATCTGATTTTTTTTCTCATTGCAGTTGCATCTGGTGCACTGGAACAAGACCAAGTTTAAGAGCTTTGCTGAAGCTGCAGCTGCTGAGGGTGGTCTTGCTGTACTTGGGATGTTCCTTGTGGTAAGTTCATAAAAAAAATAGCAGTTATTTCAGATATTACTTATACTAGGCCAAATGTAAGATAGTTTGGAATTCCAAAGAAAAGATTAATCAAAACGATAATCACTTGGCACCATGTTAATCCATATTTGAAGTTCGTTGCAAACTATATCCCCTTGTTTATCCTGATTTTACAAAAGCTTTTATCATATAAATCAAATAGTCCAATTAGGTCATTCTTTGTTTGAACTGATACTTTGAAGTAATATTGTAATTGCTTTTTTAAACAGAAAACCGTGTACCACCTCCCCATGCACAATTACATTTAAAAATCCTTAATTTTAGGTTGGCAATGAGCATGCTGAACTGGGTAAGGTTAGCAAGCTACTCCCCTTCATTCAACACAAAGGCCAAGCTATTACATTAACTGATCCAGTTAACCCAGCAGCTTTCCTGCCTGGTAAGTATCAGCTAAGAGGTAGTTAAAGAAAATGGTCCTTAATTTTAATGGAGTTCATTTTTTTACAATTGTTCTCATGGTTGGTATTCTTATTCCCACTGTAAAGTGTTTAATTTCAAGTCATTGCCTAAAATAGCATGTAGGCAGATTTCCAGCACTTACTTGAGATGTGTTATCTCCTAAAGCAGTTCTGGTGTGAAGAAAAGTGTTCAAGGTGTTCTTCCAAGATTGTCAGGTATTATACAAAATCATCCTTACTGAATGGCACTATTACCCTTTTTACTCTGTATCACGGCTTCTGAAGCTTGCTCTACATCCCAAATATAATTATGACATATATGAAGCTCGCCAAATTTCAGGATACGGTTTTATTGATTATGCTCCTGAAAATAGGATTTGGATTCTTTCTTTCTGCCTCCTCCTCTACTTCTCATTGCTGCATTCTATTCAGCAAATACACAGAAGATCAGAAAAAGAGTATGGCTTTAAAGTTATACCACAACCATATGCTTTCTGTTTGCCTTAATGTGGAGGCGCATACTTGCAACATTACATTGAATACTTCAGTGATTTTCCTTTTCTCTTCATTACCTTTTAATTCTAAATGATGAATAATGTAGGTCTCCAGTGAAAAATGCTTATTAATTCAGAAGTCTGAAGCAACACATTGATATTTATATAAGAATATATAGTATATATATTTGTATATATTTATATGTATATAAACTTAATTATAGAATGAGAAATAATAATTGTGGTAGAAGTAAGTAATTTTGTGCATAAGTAAATTATAAGCGTTCTTGTTAGAACTACGGTTCCTTCTTGTTAATGTTCGGTTTTGCTGTACAGAATTTTACCTAAGGAATATGACTGATTATTCTAGTATTTTCACTGAATTAAGAATCTCAAACTGACCAAATATCTTAAATTTCTTCATCACCTCCATTGTCCAGATGTGATCATTTTCATTTTCAAAACCTAGTTATAAGAAAGTAAATCAGGTAAATTCTATTCTGTATTTCCCTTTTACTCGGTTCTTTCATGATCTGCAGAGGCTAAGTTACAGCTATTAATTATTGTTAGTAGGTTAGGTTAATCTAAGATTTTAGAAATCCAGAGAATGAATTACAACACGAACTCTGTTGGCATAGCAAGTAAAAAGTGCCCACCTGAAAATACACAAGCAAAGAAAAAGAAAAGGTTAATACTTTTTATAGCATTCAACACGGCTTTAATGTCTGACATCACATGGCTACTTCAGCTTTCCCATGAGGAATGACACTTTTTTGAAGCATTCCTTTAAGCTATGTCTGGTGTATTTCAACAATGCATGCTATCAGAATATCTTTAAAGACATTCAGCAGTTCTATTTTATGTGTACCAGGGGCTAATCTGCACCCTAATATAGCCAGCTAACATGCTGAACAATAATGGAGATTAAGTCATTTTTTATGCTTAAAATGTACATTTGGTATTGCTGCTCAGAGCTTTGTTTCCATCACCATGAATTTGTTATAAATGTTAATCTGAATTCCAGATAAGCTATTACTTATTAAAACTATTGTAAACTTAAATGAAATCTAGATATTTTGTAGGTGTCTGTAATATCCTGACATAATACATAATACTATAAAAGAGTATTCAAGAGAATAGGCCTATTACAGCTGAAATACATTTTTTTTCCATCCTGCCATTAATCAATTGTATTTGTTTGTTACAGGTTTTACCAGTATTACAATACAATAATTTTGTATTATTTGTAAGTTATTTTCATAGTATATAGATTAGGATTTTTGTAAGCATTATTTTTTTTATAGTTCAGGCATCAGGTATTTTGTTAGCTTACCAGAGTTTGACATCACTATTTACCCTTATAGGCAGTGGATCTTATTGGACCTATTCTGGCTCCCTCACTACCCCACCTTGCTATGAATCAGTCACTTGGATTGTCTTTGAGGAGCCCATTCAGCTGTCCCAGGAGCAACTGGATGCCTTTAGGTAGGTCATTTTGATGAATGGTAAAAATGTGTGTATATATTTATTTGTGGATATCTAATAAGACTATATGTACACATTTTTCAGCTTTTCTTATTCATATTTCATTTAGACTCCCAGCACACTTAAAATGTTTGTTAACATTCACTTGTTAACATTCACATATGTTTTGTTTATCTTCCAGAGCAATGAAATCCTACCATCCCACTGAGTGTTGCCCAGAGGATGACCTTGGAGGCTGCCTTGTGGAGAACTACAGGCCACCATGTCCTCTCTTTGACAGAGTTGTCCGATCCTACAAGGACAAGATGGAGGAAGAGTAAAACAAAGGCTGCAGAAGAAAAGTTATGGAAGGGGATTTTAAAGTGCTTAGAATTTAACAAGAAAAATAAGTGACACTCTAAACCAAATTGAAGATCCCATAAATGTCCCCAGTAATTTATGAAGAGTGAGCAGCAGTATCAGTGGAAATTGTTAATACAAAGGAAATAGTTTGAAAATGATTTAAAACATTGGAACATCATAACTTGAAGTAGTCTTACTTTAGTTACACAAACTGAATACAGTAGAAATGTCTTAGAGATTGGTAACAGTACACTAGACAAGTTAAATGTACAGTGCATTTCCATCTGGAAAAAAAGTGCATGGTAGGCAAGTACACATTTAGGATATGTATGGCTTACAAATATTTTGTAGATCTATGAATAATGAAGTTGAGGCATTCATTCTGGCCTTTGGCCCTGAGATAGTTGTGTTGTTTCCACACAGTTAACAGTACATGTTACCTCACATTTGTCTTCCTCATGTGTTAAGCTATGTTCAGAAGGCACATGACTTATAGCTGATGGAAAGAAGAGCAATTTGTAGGCTTAAACAATCCGAGGTAAAATCATTGTTAGGCAAGTGAAACCTTAGTTGTGATCATTCATATTGAATAATGATTCAGGGGCCAATTTTTAAGTATTGCTGAGAAGTTTCAGATTGTGATAGTTATGTCATAAATTTTAGTGGCATGCAGGCTTACCTGGAAGGTGATTATTCATTAAAATCATTGTAAATAAGAGTGTTACCTACCTGTGTACTCATTGAATCAGACCTGTAAACACACTTGCAACCATTTCTTGATGCGAATTGGCTGTGCAAAAATGGAGAATATTTGTTAATTTTAGTATTTCTTTTGTAGAAATTTTCCTCTGCTTTCTGTGTTCGTCCTGTTTTAACACAAGACAACTTTTATTAATTTTCTTCAAGCATGTAGTACAGTATGTATATGTAATCAGTGAAGGAATCCTGCTATTAATGGATTCTGTAAGCTAAGTAAAAATGGAGAATATTTGTTAATTTTAGTATTTCTTTTGTAGAAATTTTCCTCTGCTTTCTGTGTTCGTCCTGTTTTAACACAAGACAACTTTTATTAATTTTCTTCAAGCATGTAGTACAGTATGTATATGTAATCAGTGAAGGAATTCCTGCTATTAATGGATTCTGTAAGCTGTTAAAGCTCAGATTATTTATTTTCATGTATTGATGATTGCATTGTTACACTTGTATATATATATAGATGATCAACATGATTGGAACTGCAAAAAATAATAATAAATTTGAAACTGTTAAAATCTTCATGCAATTGTGTGAATGAATATTATTTTTATGAAGCGTTGCTGTTATGTACATAAAAGTTTTTCACACAAATGCTGAATCATCAGTTACAATGTGAGGTGCAGAATAAAATCTTGTTAGGCTGTTTGAAATATAACAACCTGGCAAGGTATTTTTTCAGATTGTTGATGAAAAGTGGCAAGTTGTTAACCAGATATATGAACATAAGCTACATGTGATGAGGCAAACTATATAATATTAAAACATAGTATTATATTCCTGTCTTTTGGAATCACAATATCCTATTTTACTATTTCGTATTCAGTATCACCTAAAAATGGTTCTTAGAAATTGGGGAATAATGTATGTATTCTCCTTGCAATGGTTACTTTTTTTTTTTTACTTCAGCTGAAAAAATGAAATCATCCTTGAGAAACTTTTACTTTTGTACGGAAGTTTTATGGACAAGATGCATCGACAGTTTGGACAAATAGGGGGTTGCCTCAAATTTATTGAAAAATTATGGAAAGGAGTAGACATTAGCTTTCAGACAAGCTCAATATAAAGATGAATAATGGAAACAAAAATTAGAATTCAATGATGTCATTGTAAATGCATGAATTTCAAGCATACCACATATAACTGAACCATCCCAGTAAGACTGGGTGAGATGTATAGGCAGATATGAGAACACTGTCCATTCACAAAGGGAACCCCCTCTGACATAATTTGGTGCTGACAGGATGTGTGAGGAGCGGCTGCTCCTGTTAACCACTGGTGAACGTTTCGTGAACGAGCATACTAGCAAAACAAGTGTGCTGGATCTTCACCCAGTTTATAAGGTCCCATCCACACTGGTAAGATTTGCTCTGTAAACTTTGTGGGCTAAGCCTGTTGTACACACTTGTGCTACTGCAATGTGATGTTGGTCTGGCAGTTAGAACCTGGCAGTGACAAACAGGATTGAGTGAAGATAGGGTGGCACAAAGAAAAGAAAATATTACTCAGACTTCTACGAACTGATGCTTACACCCTCCCCCCCTCCAATCCCTTGCTTGTTGCCATGGGGGGCTTAGGTAGTAGAGACTGAGGCCCAATGTAGTGATCACCCTTGCCATGGACCTTGGCCCTCGCTTTGACTAATTTTGCAGGGTCTTTTCTTCTCCTTCTTTCCCTTTCCTTCTCTTCTTCATCTCCTGTCCACTTATCCAAATCGTTAACTCCAATTTACCCTTTTTGCCACAATGCTTTACCATGGTGTGTAACCTTTTCATACCTGGTATATTAGTTTTGACAATTGACCGTTCTGGCAATCCACACACATTACCTTATGAACTAAAATACTTGCCAAGGGGTTTCGTCCCCATGCCCTACCCTCTCACTGTTTTGTATGTGCCACTAATGACCTTAGAAATTAATGTGGCTGAATTTTTTCAATTAGTAAATAATGCCAACATTCCCCCCACCCCCCACAATTCCTTGCCTCTTATTGATGTGGAAGGTTTATGACAACAGGACCTTGGCCCAGTTTTGGGCCTTGGTCTTGGACCTCCGCCCTTGCCTCAACTGATTTTGCATGTTTTTTTCTTCAACTTACCTTTTCCTCCTCCTCTTCTTCTGTCCACTTATCCTAATTCTTAACTAATTTTTTACCATTTTCACCTCAATACTTTACCAAGGGAGGTTTGCCCCCAAGGCTCATCTATTGCTATATTTTGAATACGGTGCTAATGACCTTTGATGCTGATGCAACATAAAATTTTCAGTAAATAAAATTGGTCCTCAGCCCTAACCTCAACCAGTTTTGCAGGGTTCTTTCTTCTCCCTCTTTCCTTTTCTTTCTCTTCATACCCTTCAGTCCACTTATCCTAATTCTTAACTAATTTTTTACCATTTTCACCTCAATACTTTACCAAGGGAGGTTTGCCCCCAAGGCTCATCTATTGCTATATTTTGAATACGGTGCTAATGACCTTTGATGCTGATGCAACATAAAATTTTCAGTAAATAAAATTGGTCCTCAGCCCTAACCTCAACCAGTTTTGCAGGGTTCTTTCTTCTCCCTCTTTCCTTTTCTTTCTCTTCATACCCTTCAGTCCACTTATCCTAATTCTTAACTAATTTTTTACCATTTTCACCTCAATACTTTACCAAGGGAGGTTTGCCCCCAAGGCTCATCTATTGCTATATTTTGAATACGGTGCTAATGACCTTTGATGCTGATGCAACATAAAATTTTCAGTAAATAAAATTGGTCCTCAGCCCTTACCTCAACCAGTTTTGCAGGGTTCTTTCTTCTCCCTCTTTCCTTTTCCTTCTCTTCATACCCTTCAGTCAACTTATCCTAATTCTTAACTAATTTTTTACCATTTTCACCTCAATACTTTACCAAGGGAGGTTTGCCCCCAAGGCTCATCTATTGCTATATTTTGAATACGGTGCTAATGACCTTTGATGCTGATGCAACATAAAATTTTCAGTAAATAAAATTGGTCCTCAGCCCTTACCTCAACCAGTTTTGCAGGGTTCTTTCTTCTCCCTCTTTCCTTTTCCTTCTCTTCATGCCCTTCAGTCCACTTATCCTAATTCTTAACTAATTTTTTACCATTTTCACCTCAATACTTTACCAAGGGAGGTTTGCCCCCAAGGCTCATCTATTGCTATATTTTGAATACGGTGCTAATGACCTTTGATGCAGATGCAACATAAAATTTTCAGTAAATAAAATTGGTCCTCAGCCCTTACCTCAACCAGTTTTGCAGGGTTCTTTCTTCTCCCTCTTTCCTTTTCTTTCTCTTCATACCGACCTTGATGGCTGATGCAACATAAAATTTTCAGTAAATAAAATTGGTCCTCAGCCCTTACCTCAACCAGTTTTGCAGGGTTCTTTCTTCTCCCTCTTTCCTTTTCTTTCTCTTCATACCCTTCAGTCCACTTATCCTAATCATTAAGTCATATTTACACCTTTTGCCACAATATTTTACGATAATGCCGTGTTAAGTATGATGCCTGGTACATTTGTTTGTTTTGACCATTGGTCATTCTGGAAATCCACAAACCTTACTTAGTGAACCAAAAAAACTTCTTACCTGGGGGCTTTGCCCACAAGCCCCATCCTATCACTATTTTGAATACACTGGTAATGACCCAAGATGTTGATGCAGCAGAAAATTTTCAATAAATAAAAGCCACATCCACACAATCAGTAACCAGTTGGTCAAAAGATGGAGAGGGGAGCAGAATAATAAGCAGTTCATTGGTTCACTATATACCATCACCCCTTTATCCCTTACTCTTTGTTGTTGTGGAGGTGCTTAGAAAATGGGGACTGAGGCCCAATGTAGAGGATGACCCATACCTTAATCCTTAGCCCTCGCCTCAACTAATTTTGCATGGCCTTTTCTTCATCCCCTTGCTCTATCCACTTATCCCAATCGTTACTCGTTTTTTCCATTTTTGCTTCCTAATCCCTTAGCTCCTTCTGCTTCTAACAACCTTTACATTATACTATACCCCATCAGCTCCTCCTCTCACTACCACACCACCTTCTAGTACTGTTCAACCTATAACTTTATCCTAATCATTAAATCATTCCTATCCCTTTTTGATGCACTAATTTACCATAGCACTATTTAACCTTTGATGTCATATAGCACTGATATCACAATATTTTGAATACGCCACTAATAACCTTAGATGTTGATGCAGCAAAAGGTTTTCGATAAAAAAATAAAAAGCCACATCCACACAATCAGTAACCAGTTGGTCAAAAGATGGAGAGGGGAGCAGAATAATAAGCAGTTCATTGGTTCACTATATACCATCACCCCTTTATCCCTTACTCTTTGTTGTTGTGGAGGTGCTTAGAAAATGGGGACTGAGGCCCAATGTAGAGGATGACCCATACCTTGGTCCTTAGCCCTCACCTCAACTAATTTTGCATGGCCTTTTCTTCATCCCCTTGTTCTATCCACTTATCCCAATCGTTACTCGTTTTTGCCATTTTTGCTTCCTACTCCCTTAGCTCCTTCCGCTTCTAACAACCTTTACATTATACTATACCCCATCAGCTCCTCCTCTCACTACCACACCACCTTCTAGTACTGTTCAACCTATAACTTTATCCTAATCATTAAATCATTCCTATCCCTTTTTGATGCACTAATTTACCATAGCACTATTTGACCTTTGATGTCATATAGCACTGATATCACAATATTTTGAATACGCCATTAATTACCTTAGATGTTGATGCAGCAGAAAATGTTCAATAAATAAATAAAAAGCCACATCCACACAATCAGTAACCAGTTGGTCAAAAGATGGAGAGGGGAGCAGAATAATAAGCAGTTCATTGGTTCACTATATACCATCACCCCTTTATCCCTTACTCTTTGTTGTTGTGGAGGTGCTTAGAAAATGGGGACTGAGGCCCAATGTAGAGGATGACCCATACCTTGGTCCTTAGCCCTCACCTCAACTAATTTTGCATGGCCTTTTCTTCATCCCCTTGTTCTATCCACTTATCCCAATCGTTACTCGTTTTTGCCATTTTTGCTTCCTACTCCCTTAGCTCCTTCCGCTTCTAACAACCTTTACATTATACTATACCCCATCAGCTCCTCCTCTCACTACCACACCACCTTCTAGTACTGTTCAACCTATAACTTTATCCTAATCATTAAATCATTCCTATCCCTTTTTGATGCACTAATTTACCATAGCACTATTTGACCTTTGATGTCATATAGCACTGATATCACAATATTTTGAATACGCCATTAATTACCTTAGATGTTGATGCAGCAGAAAATGTTCAATAAATAAATAAAAAGCCACATCCACACAATCAGTAACCAGTTGGTCAAAAGATGGAGAGGGGAGCAGAATAATAAGCAGTTCATTGGTTCACTATATACCATCACCCCTTTATCCCTTACTCTTTGTTGTTGTGGAGGTGCTTAGAAAATGGGGACTGAGGCCCAATGTAGAGGATGACCCATACCTTGGTCCTTAGCCCTCACCTCAACTAATTTTGCATGGCCTTTTCTTCATCCCCTTGTTCTATCCACTTATCCCAATCGTTACTCGTTTTTGCCATTTTTGCTTCCTACTCCCTTAGCTCCTTCCGCTTCTAACAACCTTTACATTATACTATACCCCATCAGCTCCTCCTCTCACTACCACACCACCTTCTAGTACTGTTCAACCTATAACTTTATCCTAATCATTAAATCATTCCTATCCCTTTTTGATGCACTAATTTACCATAGCACTATTTGACCTTTGATGTCATATAGCACTGATATCACACTATTTTGAATACACTGGTAATGACCCAAGATGTTGATGCAGCAGAAAATTTTCAATAAATAAATAAAAAGCCACATCCACACAATCAGTAACCAGTTGGTCAAAAGATGGAGAGGGGAGCAGAATAATAAGCAGTTCATTGGTTCACTATATACCATCACCCCTTTATCCCTTACTCTTTGTTGTTGTGGAGGTGCTTAGAAAATGGGGACTGAGGCCCAATGTAGAGGATGACCCATACCTTGGTCCTTAGCCCTCACCTCAACTAATTTTGCATGGCCTTTTCTTCATCCCCTTGTTCTATCCACTTATCCCAATCGTTACTCGTTTTTGCCATTTTTGCTTCCTACTCCCTTAGCTCCTTCCGCTTCTAACAACCTTTACATTATACTATACCCCATCAGCTCCTCCTCTCACTACCACACCACCTTCTAGTACTGTTCAACCTATAACTTTATCCTAATCATTAAATCATTCCTATCCCTTTTTGATGCACTAATTTACCATAGCACTATTTGACCTTTGATGTCATATAGCAGTGTTGATATCAAATCTAGTTTCTCTTTGTGATTCTCAGATATTGCCTGAACTCCCATATGAGCTTTATCATAAAATAACTTGAAGCTTTGAAGCAAAAGGGAAAAAGTATGGGCATATGAGATACATTTTTTTATTCTATTACACTTCTGCCAATGAAGTATTTCATATATCTTTCTTAAATCTACCAGCATTTTCTTTGTTTAATATGCATTATCATTACTAAAATACCTTTATATCTTCATTACAATAATATAAAGATGTTTTTGCTATGCAAGTATAAAATTAAATATACTTCTTGATCATTGCCAATCTTATTGATCTAGTAATATATAAATAAAGCTAAAATACACATTTGTTAAAAACATCCCAAGCAAAAAACTGGAAGAACTTTGAAGAGTTTGACCTTTAACGGCCTGTAGTATATCACATCATTCAATTTTCTTCAGGCAAAGCAAAGTTGGTAAAATGTCTTCTCTTTTTTTTTTTCTTCTTCCAACTTCTATATATACCATAATGCTCTTCTGGGTGCATCAGTAGTTACTGTGTTACTTTCTCATAGAGTATCATGTAGATGTGAGCTTTCTTCACTTCTTCTAAAGTTGCTTCCCTCACTAAGAGATCTGATGCGTAGAACCACCTGCAGAGATGAAGAACAACCAATTACTGAGACAGCATGGTGAGTGAGTGGGAGAAGTATGCATGTGTGTATGAGCAAAGCTCATTATGACAAATGTTGTACATGTAGACAAAGCTAAACAGCTACCAGACTAGAAGCGAACAAAAGTGATCCATGAAGGATTATGTAAGCTGAAAACAAAATTAATGGAAGCTGTATAAATTGCAACAGTGTCAAACACAAAGTTGAAAATCAGATCAGATAGTTTCACACTATCAAAGACCATGGCAAAATTAATTGCATGGGTAATGAACTAGTCCAAGATGCCAGTTTTGAACTCATCTTGCTTTGTAATTATTTTCCTGGGGTATAAAATTCTGACTAAGATTTAATTGAAGTACCTTAAATCACATATCCTACACTATGCAGTTATTAACCTAATGGATCCTGTTGATGGCGACACCTTGTCATGAAAAGAAATTGGCCAAGGAAAAGGAAAAAAGGAAAAGGAAATTTGGAGCATGAAACTATTGCTGAGTGGCAGATAATGGGGACATTTTGTCATAAGTGCACCAAGAACTTGGGAGGGAATTGACTCAGTGGGCCTTCAAGAAGGGGCTTATTTGCAAGGATTTCCATCAGTCCACAAAAGTAGACCATTCATGAGCAAGAGGGTCATCTCCAGGGAGGATACTATTATTCACATGCAGGAAAATATTCCTGTCTGCCATTATTGGCAGTGCAGGGTGTAAAATGAAAAACTAAACACTAAAGACTAAAAAAATACTCATTGTTACTGTTATTACACAGTGTGTAAACCACCTGGAGAGATAATATAGTGTTTGCTCAATGAAATCAATCGACTACCATCCTCATACTGCATAACAAATGGCAAATACATAGTTTGAAAAATGGCAAAAATGCAAAAACATATCTGGATAGATAGAATCAACACTGTAAAAAAGGAGGCAAGGAGTCTTGATAAAGTGCATGAGAGTTAGTGTGGGCCAGGCATACAAGCCACACATCTGGGAAGTACCTAGATCTAATAGGTTCATTTTCATTCATATCTTTTTCTATGTGAATGCATGTGCATCCTCAAGTGGAAGGTTATTTAAATCAGGTAAATAATATATGTACTTTGATAATAAGAACAATAATAATAATCATAAGAAAATAACAATAACTGGGTATCAACCTGTTCCTCGTGCGTGAACCTATCGCTCCTCGACGGTATGTCACAAAATGTCCACAGAAGACATCTCCAACATGAACAATAACTGCCTTCAGTCTGTACAGCTGTTCACACCGCACTCTTGAGACATGCACAAATGAGCTGAGGGAAGAGAAGACTTGTAAGATTGTTGATAAGCCCATAATACTAGTTACACAAAACTGAAAACAACTTTACCTGGCCTCAAGGAATCAAGGGACATATTCATATAATTCTACAATATGAATGTGTACCTATCTATATTTTATGTAATTTGGATTCAGACTGCTAATCCTGATATGCTAAAATTATCAATGGGTCTAGAAATGCTATCAAATAATTTCATCGAATTTTCACAACAATAATTTATATCTACATTCAAAATAAGTAATCAAACAAAACTTATATATGAAATATATTCCTTTGGTTTGTATATCAGATATATACTTTCACATAGTCTTCTTTCTGAATGAAACATTTAGTTAACATTATTAGCTGTACTCAAATCAGCAAAAATTGCTGACTTGCCAGAGAGCGCTGCTAACATCCTCAACTCTCATTTTGCTAATATCAACAAGCTAAACCCACCACTACAAACGACAGACTTGCCAGCTTGCTTACCCTCATGCCCTTTTCAAGCAATTGTGAGTGAATATGAAGGGTATCAGCATTTAACCCATAGCTGCCGGGGAAAATCAACAAAAAATGGGGAAAATGCTGTGCCTATTTTCTATACTTTTTTGTTAAATGTCTGCCTATAGATGGCTCTGTTAGCGCCTGATTTGAAATGGTGGGAAAAACGTATTTTTCACTAGTGCCATAAATATCGATGGTGTTATTTTTATCATAATGTTTTTTAACATTAGTAACAGCAAAATAAGATAACATAAAATATTTTGTAAATCAAAGAAAAGGGTGAACAGGCGAGACAGGCGGTACTCGTAACTGGCTCATTGATGATTTAGTACAAGTGTAGCCATCTATGTGTAAAAACAATCTAACAAGTAATCTTATGGGAATGGGTTAAAAAGGATTGCAAAAAGTAAATATCCTAGCCCTAATGACATTACAAGATTACTGCAAGAATTCGCCTCCTGAGCTCGCCACCTCTCTATGTGACATCTTTAATAGATCCATCACTTAAGGAAATGATACCTGACCTATGAAAGCATGCTATCATAGACCCAATTCTCAAAACAAATCCACCTAATTTTCTTGGTAAAGGAGGCTAATATTCTGCCTATGGACGACATGACACTTGCACTCACACAAACCAGGGCAAGGCAATGTATTGCTACAAGATGCCTTCAACTAAGTGTCAGAATGAGCTCCACCAAATAAAATGCTAGTCATCACTAACAAGCAGAAATAAAATTTTCATTCAACAAATTCGCCAACTGTATTAGTAACAAACTTTTTACAAGCACCTCTGAGGTGAATCTGTTGAATCACTGAAGACCTAAAGTGGTTCTGCAACACCAAAATATTAATTTCAGAGTGCGGAAAAGATTTTCCGTGTTATCAAAATTAACCCATTGCCGCCGGGGAAAATGAACAAAAAATGGGGGAAATGCAGTACTCATTTTTTATATTTTTGTGAAATATCTCTGTCCATAGATGGCTCTGCTAGTCCTGATTTCACCTTTCCTTGAATAGGCGGGAAAAAACGTATTCTTACTAGTGCTATAAATATAGATGGTGTTATTTTTAACAGCAAATTAGGATAACGTTAAATATTTTCGTAAATCGATGAAAAGGGTGAACAGGCGAGACAGGCAGTACTGTAATTGGCTCATTGGATACTTAGTACAAGTGTAGCCATCTATGTGTATAAACAATCAAATAAGTCGACTCACAGTAGGCATGGCATGTACGTATATGCCATCCCCGGTGGCAATGGGTTAAAACCCTTTAGTGCAGGATGACCCGCTCCGTATATGGATGACTTTCATTTGATCAATTTGTGAATATGCTGCACTATTCTGACATTCATCTATCACTTAGAAAATTTTACATTAGAAAGACTTGAGAAAAAAGTATTGCACATAATAAATGGATCAAACGACACCTCATACTGATGTGCTAAATCAGCTTAAAATCCAATCCCTAGAGAAGACCAGAGAAAATATTTGCTTGCTTGCTTTGCTGACTTGCGTCAATCTAAGTGAAGAGTGACATCCTCATGGAAGGTTCAGAGTCACAAACATGAACAAATTATATATTCCATTATGACTGAATCAGCCAGGGTTGCATATTCACACACACACACACACACACACACACACACACACACACACACACACACACACACACACACACACACACACACACACACACACACACACACACACACATCACAAAAGTTATGAGTTATTAGTACTTATCATTGCAAACAGGAGACTTAAAAAAAAAAATCAAATCAAAACCAACCTGGGTTCTAGTTGACTGGAGGTTGCGTGTTTACTCAAGATGGAAAGAGATTGGTGATCATAATTATTTGCAGACCAATCTGACGATAGGTTTGATCCACCATTTCTCTCAGAAGTGGAATGGCTGTGATCAGAGCTATCCCGCAAACTGTCCTGTTGTACCTGTTATGTGAAAAGAATAATGCATGCTAGTCCATTTCCTGGTATTTACTATCCACAATAAAGCTCTGCCCTTATCTTGAAGGTCTAGTTTTATGAGATTTTATTATTTCTTTTTTTATTTATTTATTTTTTTTTTAATCTACAGACTAGATACTTTTAGCCTTTTCTATTCCAGGAAGGAATCCCTTGGATAAAATTTAAGAAAGAGCATAAATAATAATAATATAGGCCTGAATGTTATAGACAATTGATATTTATATAGCTATACTGATATTGATATACACAAGATATTATATACAGTCTGACTGTCTGAAGGGTAATAATAAAGACAATAATAATACCAATACCAACAATATAACAATAAAAATTGATTATATGTAAAAACATCCACACCAGGATACTTTTCAAATCATACATATAAAGAAGACAAGACAAGATGAAATGTAGTACTTATTACATCTAATTTCCAAGGATACATATCATTAGTTACAGTTTTCCTTGAGAAGGATGAAATTATCATCAAAGAACTTCACAGGTTCAGTTATGCCTATTGCTACTCAGCCAAGATCACAATACTTCTTACCTGTGCTGTAATAGAGGTAGTGTAGGTGTATGGATCCATGGTCAGGAACTCTGGGAAAATGACGTGGTCCCGTCTTTTAATGGCGGTTCCATTTTCTAACCATATTGTGCGTTTTACGTGAAAGCACAAACAGTCTGGGAGCTGAAATTGTACAAAGAGATGTATTAATAGTACATATACATGTGTATATACATACATACATACATACATATGTGATACTATATAAGCCTTATCAGTAATTCACAGAATAAGAGTCCCTTTGAGAATATGTTGCTTCTAGCATCACAAAATGCAGCCGACAAGGTTTTTATTTTCACATTTTATTTGCCTAAGCAAAGTATCCTAAACAAAGGACATGAACAAGTTTATAAGATTATAGGAATTTTTTTCTGTTGAATGTACACTATATATCTATATGTAGTTCTCTAATCTGAGGAGCAAATCTCATATTGATATATATTGTATATTATTTCATATGCAGCATATATTATTTCATATGACTTTACATTTATTAGATAATACTTATCAGCTGAGGTTAGGTAGGACTGCTAATTGCCTTCTTGGTGACTAAGCACATGTTGATCCATCTATGTGCAAATGAAATTCACCAAATAAAACTATAGTGGACGGTGCAATTACTGGCACCCAATGGGTTAAAGTGTCTATGACTATGTACAATATAAGTTACTAATAGTAGCCCTTTCCATCGTTTTATCTATTACTCTTAATTTTCCACAAGCATCTGTATGTACATATAGTTGGTCTGACATAAATATCACAACTAACAATTTAACTATATAGACACATGAGAAAAGTTAAACACCTTGGTTAATTTGTCTGCATTTGTTTTATCAAATGTCTGTGGGATACTGTTTTAATAGAGGAAAATTAATTTAGAGCCTTTGAGCTGTTACTGTGGTTGTCTTCAACATTAGTTTCAACTAGAAATAATTCTGGATAAGAGTGAAAACAAAAGTCTGCATAAAAATAATTATACACAGGTTGCTGTACCCCTTGCATATTCACACATTATAGTTATACAGAATCAGTGGCGTAGATAGAGGGGGGTCAGGGGGGGGGGGGCGGAAACCCCCCTTCTAGAGCCATTTTGTTGGAAAATAATCATGAAGAAACGAAAATGCTTATTAATTTTTTGTCGGAAAATCTGCATTTCTCGCCCCCCTATAAAATTTCCTATGTACGCCACTGCACAGAATACACTTTACATGTAAATACTGTATAACATGTTGGGTAGATTTTGAAACTGGGGTTTCTTTATGATGGATAAATTTGTATTGGTATAAAAGTCCTGGACAAGGTTATAAGTTTTAGGTTTTAGACAATGAAATGATACAAAAAAAAAACTTTCCTAAAGTGAAGGAAAAGGGTAAACAGGTTAGATAGGTAGTTCTGATAAACTGGTGATTAAGAACTTGTAGAGCCATCTATGTGTAAATACAATAAATAAACGTGTCTTACAGTGGGTATGGCATGTATTCTTGCCACATGGGGAGAATGGGTTAATATCATGATAAAAATACTTTGCATGTGCCTTGACCAATGTGGAAATTAGATTTGTAGAAATATGCAGAAATAGCATTTCAGAAGTGAAAACAAAGAGGCTGATAATGTCAGTGCTTCTGTGTGTATTGAGGAGAACAAACATCTTAGGAGGTACAGTGTAGAATTGAGTAGTCATAGTAATCCCACATACTGCAAACAAGTTGATAATGTAAGTGATTATTCCACACATTGTACAGAAATAAAGATGCATGATGATTATTATAAGAACAATGTCTACATACTGTAGTCGACTGGAAATACCAGTTTGTGAAGAATCTATGCATGGTACTGAAAGTGACATGCAGGGTGATGATACTTACTTATTTACTTATATTAATATGTTACAGATAGCAGGAATGCCTATAAAAAGAAAAAAGAAAAGAAAAGAAAAGAAAAGAAAAATTGGACAAGAACTGTCTCATATGGAAGTAACTGCACCTGGCCTCACAAAAATAAATAAATAAATAAATAAATAAATAAATAAATAAATAATAATATAAATAAATAAACAAAATAATTAATTAATTCAATAATTAATTAATTGACTTATCTGACCTTCCTTTCCATTCACAGAGAGAAGATAGCCAATGCACTAACATCAGAGACCTCCCACAGTGTTTGGAAGAGAAAGCAGGCCTCTCCACATACAAGATAAGGCATTTTCAAGAAGTACCAAGCCTAGCTTTGAAACCAAGTCTGATTACATCATGGATTTACACCTAAATTAGGCATACTTCACTGTTCTAGATTTAATTTCAGGATAAGGATAGTGGTAAATATCAGAAAGGAATTATATTTGTATATAAAAAAATAAAGCATATATAGAATACTCTGACATAACTTTCTTAACTATTCCCCTTATAATGGGCCCCTGAAAATTGGTAAACAGTCTTTTCTAATGCTATCTCTCAAATGCCTTATCATTTGCCCCCCTTCCAATAATAATAAGATTTTTTTTTTTTTTTTAATCAATCAGCCCTACTGTATACACACACGCAAGGTTATCATCATTTTTGTTTCATCAAGCCTCTTACTACTGTACTTCATCAAACAACTAACAGTATGAATCAAAACTATATTACATTCCCTTTATAGTTTTTGCCACAGATCAAAAGAATTTGTTTCAACATAATTCAGGGATCCACTCGACAAGACATCTAATTTATCCACCTTCTTAACACCTTTCACAAAGTTGTTATCCATTGCATAAATACATATCACTCATTGTACTTACCTTTCCTATAGTAAGTTGCTTTGTAAATGACGTCTTGATTGTACAGCCAGCTTTCTTGGTGCAGTTGTCACAGGTAACATCTGTAACTTTTTCTTGGGTAATATAACAGTCTAAAAGTTCCTGTAAGGTCACTTCACCCCAAGGTACAGATGGCAGTGAAAGAGATATAGACTCAAAGCTTGACCACTGAGCAGGATTCTAAGGGAGAAGAAAGAAAGAAAATCTAATCATACTTTACTCTACAATCCATATACAGAAATGACTACTCATCTTCAGATAAAAATAACTAATCAAGCTATGAAAAGAGAGTTCCACTATTTTATCATATTTTGATATGAACATGAGATTCTTCTATGCATACCTTATGACCACATAATATACACTGGAGCTGGCTAGCTAAATATCCTCTGAATGGGCTATCCTGCTGATCTGGGCGGGTTTTCCAGTACCTGTCGACTGAAGCCTTTTCCAAATCTTCTCTTCGGGGGATAGCTGGAGGAGCCACAGATTCTCTGTCAGGCTCATCACTATTTCTTCTGTCACTAGGCTTATTACTCTCATAAGAATAGTTGGCACAGTCTTCCATCTGAGAACTCTGGTTATATATTTCACTAGACTCTTTGGTACTATTAGTTTTTCCATTATGTATGTCTCCTTTGCTATGCTCTCCATTCACATATATGTTATCTGTATCATTCTTACTATCTACATTGTTCTGATATTTACAACTTTCATTTTCACAACCTGGATTGCTTACATAAGAATCTGACCCATTTGCATTGACCACAGCACCATTTTTGGCAGAATCATTCCTTCCTAGGCTAAAATTATCACAGTTCTGATCAGCAACAGTCATATCTGCACTGGAAAAGGAATCTGATTTATCCACATTTTTGCCACCTTTCACGTAACTGTTATCCATTGTAGCACAATCTGCATTTCCATTCATCTCTACACCATTCACCTTCTTGATGCTATAATCTCTATTCAAATACTCCACTGATGCAGCCTTGAGCAAAACACCTTCCTCATATATGTTAGTTTCACTTTCCTCCATCCATGAGACATCAAGGAGAGAGGGTGTTGTGAGGACATTTCCTAGTTCTTCATCCAAGGTGGCTGTCAGGGCATGAAAGAGTTCATGTGTGTCTTGTTCCTCTGCAGAGATAACCCAACCATGGGTCCTGAGAGCACGCATCACTTCACCTGCACATGCATCCCCTCCATGGCCTCCATCATTGTTTAACACTGCCAAGAGATGTGGAAATTATGTGAGTTTGGGATTAGAAAAAACGGAGGAGGAGGAGGAGGTGAAAGAAGAAGAAAAGGAAGAGGAATAGAGAGGAAGAGGAGGAGGAGGAGGAGGAGGAGGAGGAGGAGGAGGAGGAGGAGGAGGAGGAGGAGGAGGAGGAGGAGGAGGAGGAGGAGGAAGAGGAAGAGCAGGAGGAGAAGAGGTAGTGGGAGTGGGAAAGGGAGGAGAAGGAGGAAGAGGAGGTGGAGAAGTGGGAGTGGGAAAGGGAGGGGTAGGGTGAAAGGGAGGGGTAGGGTAAAAGGGAGGGGAAAGGGGAAGGAGTAGGAGCATCTCTACTGGCCCTATAAAATTTCAACAAAATACACAAATAAAAGAAGAAGACGTCAACAAACAACAGATGCCTACCTTTCAGAAGGTCATGGAGAGCTGTCACCAATGGGGGAGATGGATCCCTGAGCTTGGATGTCAGCCAGTTGATGAAAAGGGGGCATGATGCTAATGACTGAACGAGAGCATTTAGGAAACACGAGTTGCCTACATTTGCCAAGCCAGGGATGGTGTCTGTGAAGAAAAAAACAAAGGAGGTAAAATGTGAGCAGATACTGGAAAATTTGCGGTGTTCAAAAGGAATACGAATGTGTACATAATAAAAAGCAAAATATAAGAAACAAATAAACAAACTGATGATAAAAGATCAATACTACCATTATGTTCTGCATCTTTTCTAGGTAATATTGAGAAAGGATGACTAATTAGTTTCTGCATCTGAATTTCAAAGCTGCTAAAGTAATTTCTGATGAGAATAATATTTTTATGGAAATATTTTCCATTTCCATGTGGTAATCACAAATATATTACAGATTTTTAACCCATT